GAGACACCGAATCTGCTCTCAATCTCGCTGAAGCAAGAAGTGAAAGAGCAAAGTTTATGGAATACTTTTCTGACAAATGTGTAGGTTAAAAAATAAAGTTGGAGATCGTGACAAAAAAGAAAAACTCTTGTAGAAGTTAACATTCTTCCAAGAAATACATATTTCTCTTTAGATCTAGTGTTTATGCCAAACAAAACCATTGGAAAATGACTCAAATCAAAGGTAGCCCACATCACAGATCTCTAAGTAAGTTCTGTCTGTAAGAACTTATCGAGTTTTGATGATTTGTGGAAAGTTTTATTAATACTTTCTTGAAGATTTTATGACTTGGAAAATGTAACTTTCAAGAACATTTCTGCTGCTTCCATTCCCATTGAAGTCACTAAATCAAAAATATTGTAGAAATAAGCTTTGCCTTAAAAATCCTTTGCATATGTAACTGATTATTTGATATTTAAAAGCTGCATATATTTTATTTCAGAAAAATTTTCAACATTCCCCTAAGAAATTGAACATTTAGAAATATCTATAAGGAAGAAATACTTTTAAATAGTATTAAAAGTAATTTGATCATTAAATAACATTCAGAAATTTGAATATTCAAATGGGGGAAATACACACTCAAGATAAAGAATCCTACTAAATATTTACTTAAATCCAAATGATTAATGATCAAGTTAAAACTGCCTTGTTTATGAAAACAAGGTACCAACCATGATTACATTCAAGTAACACAAGACTTTATGTAAAACATTATCAAGTTAGCAAACACTGGTAAATACCTTTAAATTTTGTTTTTATATAACACAAAGAGTTTTTATATAACTCTTTACTTTAAGAGTGGGTATTAGTTTAATTTTTATGGAAACTTCCAATTTCTTCTAATTCATGGAGAAGATAAGTTTCTGTATAGTATAACCAAGACTTAAAAGGGCAATGGTGTTTTCTGCAGTCTTCATTCTATACGTCCAGTCACTTCTGACTTAGAAACATAACTTTTTACTTCAAGGGGAGAAGAAAAATTGTATGCATCATAGAATTAATAGAAAAAAAATTTCCAAGCCACAGTAAGGCTTTTTTGTATGTCTAAATCCACTATACTTGCTAGAATACTTAGTATTTTAAAAAAAAAAACCTTACTAATTTTTCACTTCTGACAAGAACTGATGTCAAAATGAGGTGAGTATGGTCTTAAAGTGAATATTTCCTCACTTGAATTTAATGGCATCAATATTATTCTTTAGGAAGATATTGATTCAAAATGAATTAATTTCATGATCAATTTTGAGAGGTTACAAGAACTTTCTTTTTTGGCACAATCATAATATTATCATAGCAATTCAGATTGTCAGTAAAAGCTTAAACAAATTTGCTGATAATCCTGTTAATGACCTAGGTCAAGTGTTAACTGTTGTGGGTTATAAAACAGTGAAATTAAGGTTTCTCCTACCTCCAGGCAAACAGCACAGTTATAACTATTGGGGGTGGGTAGAGGGGCAAGCTATTAGGAGAACTATTAAATTACAGAAATGTATAATGCATTCAATTATTTAGTCTAGCATGAAGAAATGCTATTAAAAGCAAATGTAAGCCTTCTTTGAAAAAAAAAGCCCATAAAGATGACATGATAGCTTAGCTCTTTGTTAATGTTTCAATCACAGGGAGTTTTTATTTGAGTGTGAGAGTTTATTAGACATTGAAGGTAATATCGATTCTGAGTAACTTTTACAAAGAATAAATCTATTATTCAAATATTTATTGTGTCAACATTTGCCTACTACTCCAAGAGAAGCATATAACATACATCTGCAAGTTTTACTTCTAATCTTCAAACACTGACATAATAGTCACTTGTACTAAGCAGAGATTTCATAGACAGTGCCCTAGCCACTCCAGAACAGGGTATCCCAATAAGAAGGATGTAGGTATGTAGACTGAATTTTACTGAACTTTATTTTAAAAACTCTCACTCTCATTTTCAGTGTAAAGAGTGCATGTGTAAATGTGAATTCAATTTGTGAGGACTGTTGGATGGAAAATACTGCATATAATATTAAATAAACTGTGCATTCTGCTTCAGTCTGCTACAAATAATTGTGTATAAAGAGTACTTCATGCAGTTCTAAAGTTGGCTGAACTAATAAAGGTCAATCACTTCTTTCTGTATCAAGTTTTAGCTTCTTTCCAAACTTACTGCTCACCATTCCGAGTCCCTGAAGATGGAAACAGAGTAAGCACACAGAACAAGCATAGGATCTATCCTGATAAAAAGCAGTGCAGTCTAATTTTGCTTTGAAAGGGAAGTGATTTCCCACTCCTAGTCTCTTGTGCCATGTGAGTGGAAAGAACTGATCACGGTTAGCAAAGTAGTTCCTAACTTCTGCGTAAGTCTTCAGGCCGGGTTTTAAATGGTCCTCGAAATCACGCATCTCTATGAACATCCAGAAGACCAGGACCAAGGAGAGAATGTAGAAGCTGGAATTACTTTTTAAAAAGCATATTAAAAAGTCACTTTAATGAATGGATGGGTTGGAAAATTCACATCAAACTCAAGTTATTTCTTTATTTTAGATGCATGGAATTTCAATAGTTTTATTTAATGATCTCAGTTTTTGTTTAAGCTCTCATAAAGACAAGTTCCTTAACAGTCAGCTCAATGGCCTGGTTTTGTTCTACCATTTCCATCATGTCTAACTCCATGATAGGAGAATGGATTTTAGTAGTAAAATTGATGAGCTGTAGCACAATTTTTTGTAGTATTAAAACATAGTTTTCACCATACTGCTTTAAGCATAGTCTATCCTCTCAGGTGTCTTCAGTCTGCAAAACGAATTGGTTCAATTTATCTTAGCTCTACCTATGAATCCAGATTGCTTTGTTAGGGGAACTGCATAGACATTGTGACACAGATTTAGAATTTTCCCTTTCCTTAGGACTCAACTGCTAAAAGCCAAGAATGTGAATAAATATTCAAAGTATCACTGAAGTATTCTCTAACTAAAACTATTGATCATAACTTTTGTTTTAAAGTCATAGCAGCCTCATAAAGAAAATGAGACAGTAGCCATATAATACTGTCTGAAAGACTAATCTTGTGAACAATAGACACATAAAAACTTTCACAGAAACAAATTAAATGATGTTTTATGAGTATTTTACCATTATGTGTATTGTTAATTTGTACCTGACTATTGACATACATTATGCGATCATACATTCATAAATGTTGTTTAAAGGCAATTAAGATTTAATTATACTTATTTAATTAAATTAATATACATTGCTTTTGTATGAGTGTGAATAAGGTCAAGAGTATTATTTTTTGAAATTCAAGTAAAGTTTAAGTTGACATACAAACGTAATTTCATCTGGATCCTGTTCATCACTAAGTCAGTCAGATCCTCGTGTGGATAGTTTATATACATTCCAGTTTGAAGGACACAACTCATCAAAAAAGTGTGGCAATTATATTGTTTTCTAGTAATTATTGGTGATTTCATATATTTGGAATAATAGTTGAAAACTCTTAAACATGTTGTGTTACTCATAATCATACGACGACTCAGGTCTATTTTCTTCATGAAGAACAACAAAGCATTCATTACTTTCAAATGAACACTTTAATTTCTGTTACTAAAACAGTTATTTGAGCAAAAGATGATTTTCCCCATCACCGCGATGAAAACAAAATCCATTTATGTTTTGAAATATCAGACAAAATTAATAAAATCTGCTAAATTAATAAAGACAGTCAAGGCACTAGGAAAGCAAATTAAACTGTCCCATTAACAGTAAAAGTAGGTCATCAAACACTTGAAGCAGTCTTTGTGCAGAATGTGCTTACATTTTTTTTCACATGGACGTAAAAATAATGCATAAAACATTGCTCTACAAAATATTCTTAAGTGAGTCGTGTACATCTACTGTGCTTCCTGCCCATAAGTTGCTCTTTATTGTTAACTTTTCAATATAATTCTAAGTGTTCAAAATCATTAAGAGGAAATTAAAGTCGTGCATGCTGCTGCAATGCTATCAATTATTCGGAAAAGTTACATTTTAAGAGTTTGTATTCTCAAACCATTAAGACTGGATCCTGAAAAGTCCGCAGAAAGCGGTGATGAGTCTGCTCCGTCCACACAAAAACAATTATTCTCAATATTAGGCTTACACTCTGAACCATTGAAAAGCCAGGGATGTCCGTTACACGGACAATAATTAATCCAACATCAAGGAAATGCCGTTAGCTGCCCATGAGCGGTCTTTCTAATTTGCTATTCGGTTATTTACTGTATCTGCCCAGGAGCTATTCATCAATCAATCATTAAACGCCTTCTGCTATTTGTACAAAAGTCCTTCATTTAGAAGAACCCAGCTTAAACTCACTTATATCCGTGCAAACATCCCTGCTGTTAATGTGGCATGCATATGCTGCCCATGAGAACCTGTATCGCTGAGCACAGCATCGCCCGGCGGGATCCACATCACTTCAGCAAGGCGGTTGTAACATAAACATACGCACACACGCGCGCACACACGGATCCAAAGAGCCCCTTTCCCTGTAGTTCATTCATAAATGCCAAATTCTCTAAGTAGGAGCAACCTGTCATTATCTTTAAAACACACGGCGGGGTCTAAAGGGATGACTAGCCTTTTCTTTGAAACTTCTCAGAGGACCACATGGTCATAATTAGAAAATAAAATACTGCCTTGGCTATTTGGCAATTAACAGACTGGGTTGTAAAAAACCGGAGGGTTTTCTTTCTTTCTGCTTCAAATTGGCAAACGTGGTAATCGCTTGAGTGGCTATCAGATTAAAAACAGATTTTTTTTTTTTTTTTTGACGGTTTCCACAATCCCAAATCATTTCCCCCAAAGTATATTGGGACTGCTACTGGGCAAAGCCCGTCTTTCGCTGCCCCTGGTTCTGAAGGCACCTAGGGGGGCAGCGCGGGTGCAGGGACCGTGGGCTCTGTTCAGGGCAGCGCGAGTACCTGGCTTACCTTCGTTGGAAGGCTGTGGGCTCAGTTCCCCGGAGCAGCTGAGGACGCAGCAGATGAGCAAGACGAGGATGGAGAGGTGACAATCCATGTTGCTGATGCACCGGGCAGTGAGAGGAGCATATCTCCACGAAGCATGCCACTGATGTGAGGGGGAGAGCTCTGATTGCAGGAGAAGTTACCATGCTCCGCTCGCAGTCTGATGTCAAGTTTGACACTGGAGATAAGGAGGAGTCTGGCTGCCTTTCCGCGAACCCCGCTCTGGGACTTCTCTGGGTCCTAGTGCCGTCGGTAACGGGCGCTGAAGAAGAGCAGGACTGCCGGTGGCTGGCAGCCAGGTTCCGTGCACCCAGTTGCGGAGGAAGGCAGTGGGTCGTAAGTCGAGGGTCTTGCCAACGGGTCAGGGAGGCTAGAATTTGTCCTGGGACAGCGATGGAGAGTCGTGGGAGCGATCCCATTTTCACTGAAAGGCAGCTATTTGTTTGCTATGCTTATCATTTGTCTGTTTCGAAAAGAGCCCAGATAGAGGTACTGTGAGTTGAACAGAAACTAACGTAAAAGAAAAAAAAAAAAGAAAGAAAAGAAAGAAAAAGAAAAAAAGGTATTGCTTTAAAAACGGGAGGTATTCGTTTAATGTTTATATAATGGCAAAGACCAGTACAATTATCCCTTTACTGTGTTCAGTGTGATCACACTTCTCTTCGTGGTTCAGCAAGACGAAAGTAGACACCCTAGGTCAGAAATTCTGTTCAGTCCACCACTTGGCATCAGTCTGTTAAAGGGATTTGGCACAGCGATTTCAGCTCACCAGGGCACAGCTGGAGTCCGAGCAGTGGGAAGTAACCTTCTCCCTCCAGGGACAGTAGCGATTCTAGCCATCCCAGTAGCAACCGGAGGCCACCAATCACTCCATAGGGTGCTGGGATTGTAATATAAATCAAACTCCAAGTTCTGAACAATGAATGTCCCTGCCTACACTGTTCCGTGAGACTCAGAGCATACCTCACAACTTCCGGTCAGCCTTCCAGCCACCACTAATCTAGTAATACTTGAAGACCGCTCTTTACATTGAAAATCCACCAGCTGGTAGACAATAATGCCCTTGGACTTTCCCATGTATTTTGCAGTACGGTTATTAACGACCTCAGGCTGATCAATCTAATTGCAATCAATTTCAACCACATGCATTTTGCAATTCCAGCTGAAAGATATTTCAATAAACTATGAAATATGTCCCAGAAAGTGATTTCACACCCACCCTTTCACTACCCAGCCATCTCAGCTTATCCTGAAAAGAAACAAGAAGATTACCTCACACGGATCCAAAAAGGAAAACTAGGTGAGCAACATTAACAGCAGGCATCAATGTTTTAGCTCTGAGAAGGGAGTCTGAAAATGCTGTAAAAGGCCACTTTATTAAGATATTCATTTCCCAACACTGCATGTTAGGTGACATGGAATAATTTTCACATGAATTAAGGCTAATGGCTTCTAATACTGTTTGTTGACTGCTTGGATGAAGAAGGGTTGAGTTGAAGAAGCCAGATGGAAGTGACTGGTCCTGCTATTGCACTCTTCCATGAGAGACTTAATTTGTCTGCCTAACTCCTTCTCATAATATGCCACCAGGGGCTGTAGAGCCCACCAGTGTTAAATCTGTCTCTGTTCAAATTAGAGATACTGATCCAAAAACAGGGGTAGGGGGACCTTGTCACAATATTTCCAGTTCCACCACAACAGTTACAAATGAATATGATTTTTTTCCAGGAATTTGAAAGAAATGACATTAATTTCAGATTGCAATTTAAAAGAATCTGGAAAGGTCATGGCAATGTGCTTGTCCTTTATGAACGTGAACTGGCTTTCCTCTCCCTATCCCATTACTTCACTTTCGTATCTAATGAACACTGATGACTGTGAAATGGACATTCATATTTGAACAATGCTACAAGTAGGTTTTTAAAAATACAAGTTAAAAACCAATGAGTGGGCCAAGCTCATAGCATAAATGATATAGGGCTTCTTACCTGTATACTCCTGAGACCAAAAGACATCCAAAAATGAGTTTCTGGAGCTAAGGATGTAGCATGATTGGTAGGGTGCTTGCATGAGGCCCTGGATTCTAATCTAGAATTATATAAACAAGGAGTATAATGCAGCACTTGGGAGATGAAGGTAGGAAACTCAGAATTTTAAGGGATTTACATCACACAATCAACTAGAGGACATCCTGGGCTATATGAAACCCTGCCTCTAAAGCTAAAAGAAAGAATGAATAAATGAAAGGAAGAAGGGAATAAAGGAAATGTTCTCAAAACCTCACTACTGTTTTGGACAGATGCAAAAAAGAATCCGGCCCATAAGCAGAAGAGAAATGAGTCTGGCCACTGTACGAGTGGAAGTACAGACATGAGGGCAGTGGATTCTCATCAAAAGGGAGAGGTAAAAGTGTAACAGTAAAGATGGGCTCAGAAGGCACTGTCGGTAGGCAGAAGGAGGGCACCCAAAATCAGAGTAATGTCCAGCTGAAGGGAAAATACTTAATATTCTTATGTGGGGTATAGAGTACTTTTTTTTTGAAGAGTGTTAGCAGCAGAGGACAGAAAGGAAGCCAGAGTGGAGAGTGAATTTTTAGGAAAATATTCTTCTTAGGGCAGATTGAAAACTGCACAGAAATCCCCACACTACAGGTCAATGTGTATGCAACTTATCCTAGATGAGAGAGAAAGAGCAAAACCAAAAACCTAAGAAATTGATCATGTCTGAGTTTTAGGAAATTATTATAGTCAGAGGATAGGCCAGAGTGTTGTCATGTATTGTTGAAGTACCACCAAGGATGAATACTGAAAGGGTTTTCTTCTACCCACCAAAGACAGTGAATCTGAACTAGAAACTGTGAGACCCAGGAATTTGCAACTGAACCACTGCTTGGTGAAAAACAGGAAAATCCCAAGACATAACGCTTACATCAGAAGTCATTTATAAAGTAAATTTGAGTCCGGGACAGCATTAGGATCTGTTGGGATAAATGGACACCTCCTGGATGGGGAAGAAGCAACACATTTTTTTTTAATTTTTAAAGAAAAAAAAGCAGAGTTAGCAACCTGGTTTAGAAGGTAAAGGAACATTTGTTTCTGAAGGAATTAGTAATTGAGCCATACTTAGGGAAAGGAGCAGGAATTGATAATAAAGATATTTCCTTTAGGAAAAAAAAGGTGGCTGTAGAAAAACAAAATTCTTGGAGGAACTGGAACTTCTTTTTTTAGAACATCTATGCTGAGTTGACATCAGATGCTTGAGAGAGAAGAGAGAGAGGAGAGCTTGATAAACCCTGATCATGGTTTCTGAGAGCCCTTCGACTGTGGGGTGATTTGGGATATAAAAGACAATTTGAAAAATGGAAAAGTTGCAGCAAAAATAGCAGTATCTGTAGCAAGAGGAGGTAATACACCAACTCTCCTTGTTGCTGACTGACTTGGCTGACATTGTAGGTCTCCTGTGGAACTCTTCATCGAACAGGTATACAAAGCAGTTGGTTCGGTTATACTGGCTTTGGGTGAGATTTTGGCACTAATATATCCTATGTTTCAGGGATAGTATAAGCATCATACAATATGTAAGATACTATAGAGAAAGTGATATCCTAATATCTGACATACTAACAAAAAATTATTACACTTTCTACAAAAAAATTGCTAGCCAAAGTAGAGAGTAGACTGTATGACACTAAGTAGTAGCAGACATCAAATCATACAAGCTTAGCTGGGCAGGCAAAGCTACAGAGAAATTCTGTTTCCAAAAATCCAAAAAACCAAAAAAAAAGTCATACAAAAGTCATACAAGTTTAACTGGGGAAACTGTCAAAACTTCGCAATAGTTCATTTTAAGAAATGAAGAATACTGGTGTCTGTGCAGCCTCTAAACTCTTGCTTTATTGAGTGCAAAAAATGATTTGAGAATGGAAAATGGCAGAGATTGTTATGTTACATAAATCTCATTGGAATAATCCGAAAGAAAGTCAAGGTAAATCAACTATCAGGAGACGGAGAAATTACTTGGAATATTATTATTATTATTATTATTATTATTATTTATTTATTTTGGTTTTTCGAGACAAGATTTCTCTGTGTTGCTTTGAAGCCTGTCTTGGAACTAGCTCTTGGAGACCAGGCTGGCCTTGGATCACAGAGATCCACCTGCCCCAAGTGCTGGGATATTCTGTTAGAGATTATGTGTATATAAAGGTATCTAGGTACTTGTGTGTAAGGAAACTGTAGGCAGGGAGATCAGTTAGCTGAACATAAAAATGGGGCACATACCAATATCTAACATTTTGAGGTAGAAATGGAGGACAAGGGGCCGGATGAGATGAGCTGGTTCAAAGCCTGGAATAGTGGAGAGTTTTCACAGGCAGGCACTGTCAGTAGCCTTGCATATGCAAATGCCAATAGGATCCTTATAGATGAGTGAATCCTGGCTACAATAAATTTTATGATAAAACCTTACCGCTGTCCTGCACTCTGCTACTAAATGGCCAGTCACTGTTGCCCTCTGATTAATGACTCTCTCTTTCTCAGATTTACCCGGAATAGCTTTGAGATTATGGTGACTCCTATTGGCTGATATCTCTTAGCCTAACATGTACAGTTGAGACATCCTATGTTGTATGCATTTTGACTCAAGGACTAGTACTGCTTTTTACTTGGCACTTGTAACATCTCTTCCACAGAGAAAGGCTTTCCTCCTTCTCCTTTTAAACAATCTTCAATATTCCATTTGCTCTTAGCATGCACACATGGCCACATGACCACACACACACACATGCACACATACACCACATATTTGAACTACAACATTATATCCAACATATGTACGGTATAGACTACTTAAAATTTCCATCTTTTCATTTGTCATCAGTTGTTGCAAACCTTTTCTGGTTATTTTGAAAAAGACAATCAGTTGCCATGTGCTGTACTTACCCTGTTGTATATTCGAATTCCTTTGCCCTCTGTCTTCTGGTTTTCATAATAGGCCTTCTCAGTCTTCCTCATTTTTTCTTTCCCTTGCCAGCCTTCTGACTTTAGATTTCTACGTAGCAACCTTTCTCCTTCCACAAAGGGATGGCAACCTGTAGTGCTGTGTTTCTGTGCCTGCCTTACTCACTTTATGCAATGCCTTTTATTCTATCCACATTATCAA